TTTTGGACCTCGCACAACGTACTCCTGCAACCTCTTGATGCTGCATGAAGTGCACAATGTTCCTTCCACTTTGTGGATTGTGTAATTTTTCTGCGCGACAAGCGCATTCGCGAGACCCTAGCCTTGCAGAAAGGGAAAAGCATGGAAAAGCAGCAACAAGAAGAACTGAACAAATGTATAATGTATCGAGTCTTTGACCCTCATCGGCATCAGAAGAAAAGAAAATTACAGCGTTGCGGACAAAGTTTTTCCGCAAAAAGGGTCCTCCTTCCAGTCGTCCTCCTTCAGATCGACTCCTTTGTCAATTTCTGCGATGTGTTTGTAGCCATCCCTATCCTCAATGGCTCTCACTTTCTCAGCCAGGGGTGTCAGGGTGGCCTGAAGCCTCTCAGCTGCTTGATTGGCTCGAAGCAGCAAATCTTCATGGGTGGAGGAATAGTTCTGCGGCACAAAGACTACTGCAATCTCTTGGAAAAGAGCCTTGATGACCATACAGTAGCGCTGGAATTCTTGCTGATCAAGCAAAGAGGTTGGACGCAGCTCTTCGTACATGCTTGGTGATGGTACCAAGAAGTTGTCTTCAGCGATCACTGGAATCACTCCGCAGGAAGGGAGCTGGCTGGTCTGCAACAACCAGCGCTCCACTTGGGCTGACTTCCAGCAGTTGGAACTGCAAATCATCAATGCCACCTGGGCTCCGTCGAGCACGTCGTTGCCTTCCTCCAAGACGGAGGTAAGTGGCAAACGGGTACCAATCAGTTTGGGGTTCAGCATTGAAGACAGCACCATGGCCGTGGCCATTGCCTCTGTGTCTTCAGGGTTTGCTAACACTGGGCAATCTGTGGAATAAAAAGTTGTCATTCTGCAAGCTGACAATGACTGGCCACACAACATTCTCACCAGAGGAAATGCCGAGCTCGGCGTGAATTTCTCTGGCAAATTGTGACTTGCGACCGTGTGCAGCCATCTGAAAGTTTTCGCCACATCTGACAGGCCAATGCCATGGTTGGCGAGCTCTCCATAATCTGGGACAAGGGTTGGGAAGTGCTCAATGAACTTCTCATCTGGTTTCAGGAATGCTGGCCAAGAAAGGAGCAGAGTCTTCACGTTGTTCCGATGTGCTGTCACCATCTCACCCACACACCATTTGCGCGTGAGAATTGCCGGACTGCCAAGGATGAGGAAAGTTTCCGTGTCCTGGCACGTTGCAGGTTGGAGATAAACGATTTAAGCACTGCAACCGCTTGGAGACATCTGTGCACACGAAAGCTTTTATACACAGAGAAACTTTTTACACGCGAAAAAATTACACACAAAAACTTTCACACACTAGCAAAATCTTGGCCATCAGTGTGCCCCTGCCAAACCCTATCTCTACACTACACCATCTACTGTATCTGAGCACTTTGAAACGTAGCAATTCTTAACTACTGCAAGTTCTCAAAACAGGATCTGAACTACATATAGTCTCGCCATTTAGCCTGGGTGTATGTACTGTACGATATGTGGATTGAACGTTGGCGACGGCCACAATGACAATGAGGCTGTACCTCCTGAAAATACCACTCAGGTGTCCAGAAATCCCAAAACAATCATAACCTGTTTGAAACGTGTGAGGGCCGCCTAAAGAGTGATTCCCAGTGACTATCAAGGCCAGCCTCATTTCACAAGCACTATACTTTTCTCATGCGTCGACGTTGCAGTGATGTTGGCACTACAGGTGCAGCACTTGCGAGGGGTGCAGATCCCCTTTGTGTGGCAGGGCAGCGCTTCAGACAGCCAGATGTCTCTCTTGCATTTTTCACAGGTTTGGTTTTTGCGTGTTCCGCACCCTCGACCGTGCCGTGCGCGAATGTGTGCCATATGGTTGCGCCTTCCTGACTAAGGGGAATGCTGCAAGGTGATGCGTTTTCAGTGGAAATGCACTATTTATACATACCTGCTGCCCTGCCCAAACAACCATTCCTGTCCAAGATGCAAATGGTAAACTATTTGTGGCAGTGATTGGAAGTTCACGGCCATGAACGGTTATTTACGTTCAAGATCGTTCAAGAGGTTTCCCCGATGGTATTTTACGTCCAAGTACGGTTTTTTTACGTCCACGAGGTTTATGCCAAAACAAGCTCCAAAATAAGCGCCTTTTTCAGGTATCTGTTCCATTCCTATGCCCTTGGCCTGGTTGAAGTTGCACAATGTTTTTCCCTTTCCAGCAAGGCAAATCACACATGCGTCCATGCACACTGAAATAAACACAAGTAGCGCTGCAGTGTGCGCTTGGCCGTGATCCTAGCAGCTACACAACGGGTGATAGCAGCTGTCCTTCCAATGAAGTCCTCGTCAATACTACAACTAAATGTTGCAGGGTTGATGCAGATGCCACATTTGTGGCACTGCCATTTCATGGTATGAGCTACTTCGTGTAAAAAATGAAGCTTTGGATACATTGCAAAAGCTGACGCCCCCTTGTTGTAAGAGGCATGCGCTTCAAATGCATACGCCTTGATGAAGGCATAAAGAGCATTGCTCAATTCCAGCCCTTGAGACCTATCAATGAACACATCATTGCTGTAAATGCCCTTCATGAACTGGTTGACCTTCTGGGTGCCATAAGCCTTAGCGCTTCAGGATTTATCAGGGTCATAATTTGTCGTATCCAAACGGAAGTTAAGTTCCAGGGCATTGGGAATTTAATAGCATGAAATCACTATTTATTCGAAGGAAGTTTAGAAGTCAAACTTCCGACAATATGGACAGATGAAAAGCAGAGATAGGAAGAGTCAGAGAGAAGAGAAGAGTAGAAGAGAGAAGATAAGAGAAGAGAAAGAGTCAGAAGAAAGAAGATGCAGGTGCGCGAAAAGGTAGGAAAGTCGGGAAACACTGGGTTTTCCAATGATTTGTGGCTCCGGAGGGTCGAAAAGTAGGCTCGCTAAAGCGGCGGGTGCGGAGCCATCTGGCTAGATGAGAGATGAAAAATTGCACGCCGTTGTGGCGCGAACCACATTTCGAAGTCAAAATGCGCAAGGCACACCAGCTCCGGACCACTTTTGGAAGTTGCGACGTCGAAAAAGTGCATGCCGTTGTGACGCGAAGCACATTTCGAAGTCAAAATGTACAAAAGACACCAGGTTCGGACCACTTTTGGAAGTTGAGATGTCGAAAAAGTGCACGCCCTTGTGGCACGAAGCACATTTCTAAGTCAAAATGTATAAAAGACACCATGCTCGGACCACTTGTGGAAGCTGCGACGTCGAAAAAGTGCACGCCGTTGTGACGCGAAGCACATTTCGAAGTCAAAATGCACAAAAGACACTAGGTTCGGACCACTTTTGGAAGTTGGGATGTCGAAAAAAGTGCACGCCGGTGGCACGAAGCACATTTCTAAGTCAAAATGCATAAACCACACCATGCTCGGACCACTTTTGGAAGTTGAGATGTCGAAAAAGTCCATGCCGTTGTGGTGCGAAGCAAATTTCGAAGTCATACAAAACACACCACGTACGGACCACTTTTGGACGCTCAGATGCGCTTTCGCGTGGCAGGCGCAAGGGATTGTGCACCTTGTCAAAGGTGAGCCAAACGTGAGGGTTTTTAGCATTTAAAAGCGATGGCAGGCGTGGGACATTTGAAGAAGGTCTTCAAAGATGCATTTCGCGTGGTAGGCGCAGTACACAAAAGACATGTTCATCAGAGATGTTAGAAGGTCAGGGCGCTGATTTCTTGAAAGGGGTTGCATTTTGGAGCATCAGATCTTCAGGTTTGCTGAGATGATTTTGCGTGACAGGTGCAAGGACAACTATTCTCGTCCAAATGGCAAATGGTATACCATCAAGACTTTGGACAACAATAGTTGCTAAACAAGTGGACCAGGCAATTTTTGTTCACGCATGACTTCATTGGTCGTGGAGTTAAAGTTTCGCTGTTTTCGAAATTTCCACCTGTCCGAACCAGTGTCTTCCAAGAGAATACTGCCAAAAAAAGCGAGGGATGTTTCGTAACAATGTCCATCAACAAAATTGTTTTAGAGTGTCTATCAATATCTTCATGAAGAGTGCATTCTAAGGGAACAGTGTCCTGTAAGGGTATCCATCAAAAATGTCTACCAAGAGTCGTTTTTCACCTGTGTTTTCAACGTTTTTCACGGAAACTCCTGCGAAGGGTTTTTTTCCAAGAATTTGCTGTCAAAGTCCATTTTTTATTTATCTACACAAAATCTCCTACATTCTCAACATCACCTAAATATACCAAAATCATCTACATCAACTTCATCTACATCACATACAGCATCGCATCTCTTACTAGTATATCCTTCACATCACCTACGTCATCTACATCAACTTCATCTACATATCCGCCATCATCTACCTGGCGGTTGATCTAAATTCCTTATCTGCAAAGCGGCCATTCTTCGCGAATAAACAAATTCTTTCGCAAATCTTTTGCGAACTCCATGTGTTTATCTTTCGCGGGACCCATGTTGAGCAACAACTCCTCTTATGATGATTCATTCATCACCTGCCAAATGACACCAAATTATCACGGATAACTTCTTCATAGCCTTGTAAACATGCAGCTAGCATCACGGAATCCCCTTCTCAGGACAGGCTGTTGCCGCTGATTAGGCATTTTTTGCAAGGCTTACTGGGCCACTCCCTTCAAAATGCGCTTTGGCTTTCGCCCACTCCTTCGCAGAACTTTTGCGAAACTTTTGCGAAAATATCCGCAGACCCCAGCCGTCAGCAGGGGGCGCATCAGAGGAAACGCAAACACCAGGGATCTTGGCGTTTGGCTCTCGCAAAGCCTCACTTTTGGAAGCTTGGCTGCTGCATTTGGAGCTTGTCTCTTGAGACTTCAGAAAAAGCAACGTTAGGCATTACCAGCGGCAGGTGCAAGGATGCGCTTCAACGCCATGGTATTTGACTGTGGCGAAGCCTCGTTTTCGGAAGCTTGGCTGCTACCTATGAAGGGAAAGGTAAATGTACGGTACCATTCTCCTGCCGGAACCCCGGGCGGCGGGAGTGGTAGCCCTTAACAAGCTGGACTGTACACAATGATAATGATTCATAATATCCAACTTTCGCGAAATAAATAGATATCTTTCGCAAACTCGCATAAAAGCCTTTCGCGAGGGTTCTCAGCATAACATGAACGGTCTTCGCAATAAAAACTCTTCACAAGGACCTTTAGATCGATCACCACATCAACTACATCATCTGCATCAAATTCACATACATATCTCCTACAAAACTCCAAAAACGTCATTTGCACAGGAGTTTTTACAAAGGAGTTCTTGGACAGGAGTTGCTGCACAGGATTTCTTTCAGAGGACTTGTTACACAGGAAGTAACGTCTAGGTGATCTACTCTGTATCTGAACTCCTATACTGCCCGAGTTCTTCTAAATTCCCTCTTTTCAGGGGCAGGGGCTGCGGACATCGTGCGCGTCGGGGGCAACCCTCTGCGGAAATCGTGCGTGTCAGACACCTCAGCGTGTGGTGAAATGCGAAGGTGTCTTCGTGACGCTCTGCGGAGATCCCGGGCACAAACGGGTGGTGAAATGCGAATTCTATTTGTCCGGTGTGCGGAGATCGTGCGGGCCGGACGCAAAAGTGTGGTGATAGTGAAGTGCGAATTTTTCTCTGGCCGGTGAAACCCTCTGCGGAGAACGCGCGCGTTGGACGCACAAACGTGTGGTCAAATTTTTGGTGGCCCGGCATCGCCCGTTCGCACGAAATGATGGCCGAGAGAAAATTGCAAGTTTGAAATCATACGCTCAACCATTTCGCACGGAATGAAGGTCAAACGGGAAAACCCCAAAGATCAGGTTAGGCAATTTCCTGCCTAATAGTTAATTCCTTATTTCCAACCTAATTAGGAAATTTTGAAGGTAAAATGTAACCTAATTTTAAGGTAATTCGGCACATGGGGTTGAAAGTTTGCGTGCAAACTTTCGAGTCGAAATTTGCATGCAAACTGCTGCAAACTTGCGAGACGAGGTTGAAAGTTTGGATGCAAACTTGCGAGGGGAGGTTGAAAGTTTGCGCGCAAACTTGCGAGGCGGGGTTGAAAGTTCGCCAAAACTTGCGAGGCGGGGTTGAGAGTTTGCAAGAAAATTTGCGCCCTTGGACACACACGCAAGCATTTGCAGGCAAATGGTGGTACAAGTTTACCCTCAAACTTGCGAGGGGGGTTGAAAGTTTGCCTGCAAACTTGCGAGGGGAGGTTGAAAGTTTGCATGCAAACTTGCGAGGCGGGGTTGAAAGTTTGCGTGCAAACTTTCGTGGAAAGTTAGGTAAAAAAAATAGTTAAGTTTAAGGCAAGAACAATTGACTAATTTAGGTAAGAAAAATTAAACTAACCTGTATCATCAAACAACCATTAAAATTTGGTCGTTTTGGTTTTCTGCCCGTTTCAGAAAATAATGGTAATTCTGCCCAGTTTGGGCCATTTCTGCCCGATCTCAACTTTTTCTGCCATGTCTTATTTCCACACGTGGAGCCTCTTGCCACATCACATCAAATCACTCAACCTTCAGCAATTCCTGCCGGTAAAGGTACAAACACTTCTGTATTGCTATATAAAAAAGCAGGTGGTGACTTGAACGTGACAACCGTGAACATCTTCCGATGTGATCTTCGTCCTGCCAAAACCCCCAGCCTCAGTCACTGGGCCATGCCAAAGAAAATAATCTTAAGATATCCCTAACTGAAGAGCACTTCTATACCCCCTGCTCAAACGTAGAACAGGGCCTCATGAAGAAGAATCTGATCCACTAAGTGTGTTGAAAAGCATCCCAAGAATGGCTACAACTATGCAGTCAGCAATCAACCTATTGGTGTGTCTGCGAGTGGCTGACCCACTTTGCTAAATCAAAAGAATTTGCCATTTAAACCTAGCCTTGCTGCGAGAAAATATGTTTTGTCAAAACACATCAGGGCAGAAATCCTGATTTGCGGTCGTTTGCGGGTTTTTGCGTACGAATTGCGGGTTTTTGCGCCCGATTTGCGGGGTAGTTCTCGTCCGAAAAAACTTGAAAATTGACGATTTGCTGTTTTGCGGGGAGTTGCTGTCCCAAATCTGCGGCGTGAATACGTGTGAATCATACGTGTTTTACATGACTGCCTTAGGTGTTGTGAATAACGCCAATTCAATAGTTGTATGCGTGAAGTCCCACACGCAGACAAACACACACCTGTCTCAGATGGTACAGCTTTGCGAGCCAGAACCTGAACAACACGGGTCATACAGCATTGAAATTTATGCCAATTGGCATCCAATCCCTGAACAATGCACCAACCCTGCAAAGAATAAAAGAAAAAACAGAGCGGGGGCTCAGGCCTGAAAGCGCAGGCCGCATGGATCCAGTCAAACACGTCAGGGGTCAATCAGTGCACAAGTGTCGCTATGGTGAAAGAAAGTGACGTTATGGGATGGGACACCATGGAAACACATAGAAAATTAATGAAAATTAGATTTCAGCCAGATTTCTGCCATTTTGGGTCGTTTGGGTTGAATTACCCGCCGATCTGACCCAAAATAGGTCAATTGGCTAAAAGCAGGGTCATTGACTAAAACAACATTTTTTTCTGCTCGTTTGCTGGTCCAGGAATCGTTATTTTTTTTGGTCTAAGATAAGGAATTACCTTTTCGGCAGGAAATTGCCTAACCTGATCTATTGGGAAGGTGACGTAAAAGTGCGATTTTTTGAAATCGCAGATGCAACCATTTCGCACGACACGAAGGTCAAACGGCAAAAACTGGGGTGAAACTGCGGTTTTGCAACATCACAAAGTTTAGTCTGTGTAAGAACTTATCTGTGTGTAAAAGCTTCTGTGCGCCTCTGCGTAAAAGCTTCTGTGGGCCAAAATGTGCGTAAAAGCTTCTGTGCATAAGAGCTTCTGAGTGTAAAAACCCCTGTGCGTAAAGTCTTCTCTATGTACAAGCTTCTGCGTGTAAACACGTCTGTGTGTAAAAGCTTCTGTGGGTGAAACCTTCCGTGTGGCCATGCTTCCTCTGTGTAAAGACTTCTCTGTGTAAAAGTTGCTCTGTGTAAAATCTACTTTGTGTAAAAGCTCCCGTGCGCAAAAGCTTTTGCGTGTAATTAATTTTTTTCTGTGTGTAAATGCGTCTGCGTGTAAAAGCTTCTGTGTGTCAACGCATCTGTGAGTAAAAACTCCCCTGTACAAAGACTTCTCTGTGTAAAAGCTCCTCTGTGTAAAGCTTTCTCTATGCAAAAGCTTCTGCGTGTAAAAGGTTCTGTCTGGAAAAGCTTCTGCGTGTAGACGCGCGTGTGTGCAAAAGCTCCCCTGTGTAAGGCTTCTGTGTGCAATCGTCTTTGTGGGTAAAAAAAAGTTCCTCTGGAGTTCTCTGTGCAAAATCTTTTGTGTGAAAAGGTGCCTCTGCGTAAAATGCTCTGTGCAAAGGCTTCGCTGTTGAAAAGCTTGTGCGTGCAAAAGCGTCTGTGTAAAAGCGTCTGCGTGTAAAGACCCTCTGTGTCGAAGCCCCTCTGTGTCAAGATTTCTCTGTGTAATCTTCATATCTTCCTTTTCCATCCTCTTTTGATCTACTCCCTCCTGCTCTTCTTTCGGGCCACACTGTCGTCTAGTTTTCCAAGGTGTCCACCCAGCGAGAATGTCTTCCGACTGCCCTCCAAGTGTGTCCTTCAAACTTCTCTACCCGGTTACCCAGGGTGTCGCACACAAGTGTCTTGCAAGAGCGCTTCGGTCTCTTTAAAAAGAGTCTCTTAAGAATATGCCAGCAGATTTTCACAGAGTGTCTCATTAGTGTGGCAAATCTTCGAAAAGTGCATCCCAAAAAAGTGGTTCGCAATCCTCAGTACATTGGGAAGCTGATCCTTGGATTACATTTCACCATGTTTCACCCTATATTTCACCCTCTCCAGTCCTGTCCCACATAGCTGAAGAGCCTTGTGAGATCGGTAAGATCATCACAGTCGATAAAGGTCTTGGTGCCAGGGTTGCGTAGTTCCAGTTCCATCTTCAAGAACCTTGGCTGGAACTCCTTGAGCTATCTGCATGGGAAAACCCAACTCTGGAATGAATCATCATGAATCATCCATCCTACAGTATCTGCTCAACATATTTGGATGTTGATGCCACAAAATTTTGGTCAACCATGGGCCTCGCCATGGACCCAGCTGCGTTCTTCTGATGGCAGGTGAAGAAGCGAAACTGCTTCCGATATTTCTGCTGGAAATATCGATAGCCGCCGTTAAGCAAGTTCAGCAGGATTGACAACAACATAATGACCACAAACGCCATTACCATAGCCATGCTGGCGGCTGGGTTGGAGTCCGTCACAGACACAGAGCCCACGTCAAGTATCACCATCATCCCAAACAGCAGCATGCAGTCCAGCAAATTGCAGGACATGCTTCGCCATGGCTTGAAAAAGGAGACTCCAATCAAGTTGACCTAGGTGGGCGTGCAAATCCCCAAAAATCGGCTCCCTTTTGTTTAATATGGATTATGGAAACCCTATATCTTTGGTATCCGGCTAGTCCGGAATCGCAAAAGGTACCTGACCATGTTTTCTACAAGAGCTTCCCTTCTCCTCTCCAATTACTTGCTGCTGTCAGTTTCTGCCGCGCCATATCATATCTCAGTCCAGAAACAAAAACGGTACCGTCGGAATGTCTACATTGTACGCGCGCACACACAGGCACACACACAGATATATATATATATATATGTATATATTATTACTATTATTATTACCTTAATATTTCTATTATTATTACTATTATGATTATGATTTTGCTTATTATTGTTATTATTATCATGATAATTATATATAGCCTATATAGCACACGTTTATGCAGACGGATCTTTTATACCGGCCCACAAAAGTGAGGTTGCGGGCGGGGTGGTTCATGCATATGTTCATACATTACTAACTTCACAGAGCCGCCACGTCTCTCGCAGTGCCACGCTAGCTAAGCTATACGTCACAGGTACGGTGTTGAGGGTGGGGTGGGGTGGGTGGGGTGGGGCAGTAACGTTCATGTACATGTTCGTACATTACTGACTTCACATAACCGCCACAAATCTTGCACAGGTTGTTTGATTGATTGATTGGTTGATTGATTGACTGACTGACTGATTGATTGATTGATTGACTCATTGACCGATTGATTCATTGATTGATTGATTGATTGATGGATGGATGGATGGATTGATTGATTGATTGATTGGTTGGTTGATTGATTGGTTTATTGATTCGCTGCAACCTTCCGGTGCAAACACCGTGGATTGACACAGCATACTGAGCTGGAAAAGCTCTGGCAAAGGAAGCAAATCACGAGTCGGCTGACTTCATGATCTGGACCAAGTTCTGGCGGAAAGGAAAGGTCACGCTGTGCTGGCGATCCACAACTTGTCGTGCCCACTGGTGAGCTTGAGAAATATCATGTTTATGCGACAAGAATTACTCTTTCAAACTTTCGGTGACTTCAACTGCAGCAGCATCAGCCACTGAACCAAGTGTCTACATTGCTTGGCAATGAGGCCCCGGTCGAGGGCCGGCTGCCAATCATATCTTTTGTGGTGGGACGGTACCCGCATCCACACCAAAAGATGTGAGGCGAGCAATGAAGCTCCAAAAGCCACACATTTCACCGTGCCAACAGCCGAACTGGAGGCCTGCTTGCAAGCGGCGGACCACCGCTTGGTTGTCAATCAGGAGCCGAACAGGCACCTGAGCGTCGTTGGCGGCAAGCAAGGCTTGCAAAAGGGTTCCCGCGCCGGCAGCCGCGGTATGTGATGTGAAACTTCCACTCTGCCACTAAGGTTGTCAGTGTCCGGGCAATGACTGCCCAGGAAGCTTTTTAGGTATAATTCCTGTTTTGCCGGGCTACCATCAAGTGCAAGGATCACAGGTTGGCCCTCGGAAATAAATCTGTTTCTTAAAAAACACAAGATCCAGGCGTGGAAAGCCGGACTAAAGGCATGCGGAATCTATTTTCATCATGAATTTTCTGCTGCGGCCTCTGCCCTTCCTGGGCTTCGCAAAGAAAAGTGAGGTGCATTCTGTCCGGGCAAAGCGCACCACACTGGCAATCTTTGGTTGCACTTTGGTTGCGCTCAAATGCAACCATCAGTGGCAGCCGGGATCAAACCGGCAAATTTGCATCGTTCGCCACATTCTTGGGCAGCATGGCAGTGGAAGCCAGTGAAAGGAGACATGTTATGTTCCAGTTTATTGGGGGTTTGGTGTCATTGTTATACAAAAACGCCCCCGTGAGAGCCTGACAAGTTTTGCAAGAGCAGCATCGGAGATGCATCCCAACCGTATTTGACCGAAAGGAGCGTCCAACTAAGATTTCGGAAAGCGTCCTGAGCCTTTTTGTTAGGCTGTCTGGCTGCTGGGCGATCCAGCCACATGTTCACCTGGCAGCACGCTTCAAATTTGATGGCTTCCACGTCCATGGCACAAATTGGGTGAATGTCAAGAGTGGCCAGGGTTGACCAGAAAAGAAATTTGGATCGACCAGCTTTGGGACAGTCCCCAGATGGCCGACTCAGTGGCAGAGGTCCAGGCGGTCTGCTTGCTGAAGTGTTGCCAAGGGCCCATCCACCCGAGCAAGGCAACAACCAGGATCTGCACCAGACACTTTCGAAGAGACAAGTTGTCGGTCACAAGCCTAATTTTCCGGCATCTATACAAAACGGTTTTGTGCAAGGTGCTATCTTTGTGACGCTTGACAGGGGGCCCAGCAAATTATTGAATGCCCAGCTTAGATTTAGTTTGACAGGCCCAACCAGATCAGCAAATTGCTGTAAACTGGTGCGTGTAAGGAAAACCCAAAAGCTTTATCCGCTGGCTGTGCGCTCTCCATCGCAGTTGTAACATGATGGATGGCTTTTGGGCCGGCTGCCCATGCCCATACCGTTCTGTCATCCAAAAAGGGACTTGATGTTTGAGGACCCTATCCAAACTGTCAGTAATGCATTTAACAAAGCCGAGCTGGCGGGACAGCCCTGCAACAAACTGGGCGCTGCCATGACAAGTTGCGCCGCATAACAGTCCCGCATGGCATACCACCGGCACTGCTTGTCATAAAACTGGTTCAGGACATGGAGAACACCTGGCGGGGCTCCCAAATGTTTCCAGACCAGCAGGGCAGCTTGAGGACTGGCTGAATCAAAACATTTGCGGATATCCGCTTTGGCTCCCACTAGCCCACGGCTAGCAGCTAGAGTTTCGAGAACCACAAAAAGGTCATCAAAAAGTACTGCATGGGCATCGTGTATGCCCTGCGCAGGCACAGCGCCAAAAAGTTCAGATGGCAGCCAGGTCGCAAGTTTTTCAATACTGCTGACACATCGCTATGCTCAGCGGTCTCTGGCTTTGATCAGGCTTGGGAATCAAGGTAACTCTCACTTGCTTCCATTGATTAGGCAGCGGGGTACCTTGAAGGCAACCGTATGCAACCGTCATCATTTGGGCTAAATAGTCAAAAAAAGGAAGTGGCAACTGGTTCCAGCTGGCCGGAAACCAGTTGTCCATAGTTGTCCTGTCCAGCTGCTTTCAGCAAGACTTGCCCCGCCATGTACAAGTTCAAGGAGAAGGACTTGATCGGACTGGTACACGGAGATGACTTTGTGGACTGATGAGTCTCTTATGTGGTTGGATGAGGTCCTCAACAAGAAGTACACGGCGAGGTGGGAGGCAAAGCTTGGTGATGGCGAGAAGGACGACAAGGAGGCGTTCTTCCTCAACAGACTGATCCGCTACGTGCCGGATGGAGCGGACCAAGATGGAGAACGACTGGAGGTTGACTCTGATGCAAGACATGCGGAGTTTCCGGGCGGCTTTTCACACAATTTGCCGCCAAGCGTTGGTTGGTCAAGCGTTGGAGGCATGGAACTAGCAATTTAACAAAAGGAAAGGGCGCATTTGCGGCCTGTGTACTTTAAGCTTGCACTGGTTTGGTTCTGGGACCTTACATGACAATTCCATGGGGCCTTTTTTCAACTTTCTGCACTGCAGTGTATGTTCATTGAGCCGTGTCTCTTGCAAAGATAAAATATCAATATTTTGGGAAACAGCGGTATCGGAAACAGCACCTAATTTGCATCTCAAAGTTCGCACGTTGAGTGTGGCAATTCGGAACGTCTCTGAAGAGCTTCAGTCATGTTTTCCATTATTAGGTGTTGGAATATCCGCATGTCCTGCCAGGATGTTTCGGGAAAAGTGATTGCATCACTGTTGGCCCCTCTGGCTTTTTGTAAGCTTCATCCAGCTTTCGGATTTAAGGATGCTTTTTTTGGCCCCCATCCACTGCTAGCGGTGCATTTTGACTTCGCAATGTGTGCCCTGCGATTGGGCACCTGGCGGCATTTTTGGCATATGTTTTTTTTCAAGTTGCTGCAGAGGCCAGGGCAAGGCCGCAATGTCATGCTCACCCTGCGCGGCATTGTAAGGTTCGATCCAGGACAAAGTTGTACAAAACTATTTCTTCAGCTCATCAGGAATAGTTTTGTCATCAATCGCTGCTCTGATCTGCACCAAAAGTTTGCACTATTGGGCCCGCCTCCGCCGGCCACATCGCATCTCATTTTCTTCAGTCCTGGCAAAGAGTGAGCAATGGCTGCACATTTTTTACACATCGCGTTGGTCGTGTAATGGCCTTTTTTCACTTTTGTGTTCCCGGGAGTTGGAGGAAACTTGCGAAAAATTACATCGTGGTCTCCTTGACCGCCGGCTTTTAAGGCCATTAAACGTTTGGAGACGCCAGCGCTATTTTTGGCCAACGTGGCCTTGGAAAACCCTTTATTGCTCCCTTGGAGGAGGAACATTTTTGAGTCAGCCTTGGGGTGATCAGCTTCACGATGCTCCATTCGCATGCTATAGTGCACATCTCTGTCAACTATGTCTTTGCTGATTTACAGATCACACAGTGGGCATTCCACTTGATCAGCTTTGTTTTGGCTCGCAGTAACACCAGTGAAACAACCACATTCATCGCAAATCCAGGAGTTTCTTGCGGCCCGCTTCTTTCTAGGCCTTTCATCTGCCACAGGTGGTCGCATTGGCAAATCATCATCGGTTTCCTTGGGTGCAGGGCGGCTATATCTACAGGCACGAGCCCTGACTTGCTTCGCTGTAGTGTGATGAAGGCGGGAGCCACAAAGCGTGTTGTGCCCCACACTGACAGCAGTCCCCCGTCTTTTACCGGAAGAGCTAGATGCACTGCTGGCAGGTAGCCAACTCGTAAAACTCTTTTTGCCCTTAGCTCCTCCACGGTGGTCATTGGCACTAAAGTTATACCGCTTGGCACTTCGGCATTTCAAGAAGGACGCCACATCCAATGTTCGTTGGTTCCAAGTCCCTATGAGAGTGTCCACAGACCCATCTGCCCGGTCGAGCTATGGCTTCGAGCCACTCCTCGTAAGAGGTTGGTATCGGCCCCCCTCGGTTTGTTCGGTCCAATAGGGTCTGGGCACCATGCCTGATTGAAAAACAGAGCGGCGCCCAGTTTCTTGGCATTTCAGGTCCCTGCCTGTTGCTATTGCATAGCTCACGGAAGCGGCTCTATAGCAGCAGTCGCCTTGGCCACCCCCATCCAACATTGGATGACCAAAAGGCTTGTCAGGGGCTTGCTACCCATTCTCTGTCTTAAGTCGTTTCTTGTCGGAAAAAGGTCTTTGGCTTCAGGTGCTTTCTTTGCTTCTTCGGGAGTTCTCTTAGTTTAAGCTCCAATTTTGTCATCATCTTGCGTGGGTTTAGTAGCTTCATCCTGTGTGTCCAATAGCGTTGCTTCCACAGGAGGCAACGCTGGTTTGGCATCCGCACAATTAATGATTTTGTTCCCAAAAGAGGTAGGTTTGGGAAGAAGGTCGGTGCCTGCCTTGGCTATGTTTTTTAATGGCTTCCTCTTGATAGGTCGCCGGCCAGCATGGTGGACAATGATTGTATATTCACTGGTTTCATAAACGTGACAAACATCGTTGTTGGGAGCGGTGGCACGGACCTGCCATCCTCTGGCATTTGAGAGTGCAGTGACATACCATGTCTAAGTGCGACCCCGCTTCCTTCTGCTTCAATCAAAGGTGTGACCCAATTGACGGCGGGTTTTGGCCCATGCCGGGCCAGGTTGTCAATAAAGAAGAACCTTGGCCACTTGAGAGACCTAAAAGCTATTAAAAGCTAACTTTTGCAGGTGCTGACATGACTATTTTTAAGAATCCAGTCGCTTATTGGTCATCAGTGTGATTTGCGAATAATAAATGCCACCCATATGTGCTGATGAAATTTGGCAATGTTACGTCACAGGTCCGTACAGGTGAGGTGGGTTGGGGTGGGGCAGTAAAGTTCATGTACACGTTCGTATATACATTGCTGACTTCAAACAAACCCACTGACTTCATATAACCGCCACGTCTCTTGCAGTGCCTTGAGGAAGATCATGGCTTAAGACAAGTCGCGGCAAAATTGCATTGGCCAGCTCGCTGCGCTTTTGGGAACCAAAAAAAAAGTCAAAAATTCTGCAAGGGCTCACGTCCCCAAGAAACAACATAAACATCTATGATGCATTTTGCACGACCAAAATCAAAATTTTGCCATGATGAAAGCACCATTTTCTTATAATTGTGGGACGGTGAAAGACCCGCCGGAACATGTATGAAAAATATGAGATAATGTTTGCACATACACCTGGCCCGTCCAGTTCTGCAAAAATCCCTGACAATCTATGCACTGCTAATTCGCAACCAGGTACATAAAAGATCAAATTCATCATGGCCAGCTGCCCAGGTGTGGAGGTGGCTAAGGGGCACAGCACCACCAAAGCATTTCTCACAAGAAAAAGCACTGAAGCAATCTCAGCGCCAGGTCGGAAACGGCGGATCAGGAAGGAGTAGCTCTCCAAACATTTTGCATCTGACCTCGCAGTGAATGCTACCCCGATCCCACCCCGTCATCGCCATCATTAGGTAGTTGGTCAACGGGTGGGTGAGGTGACATCCCAAGCCTTATAATCAACCGATACCCAGGTAGCCCATTCAATCCAAACGCTATTTTCCCAACACAGGGTATCCACACTTATCCAGACTGCGGGATTCTTACGTTCAGGGGAAAGGCCGGTGCTTGATCAGGGTGCACCAGCTGTTGGTCGGCTTTTTTCCTGCAAATTTTCGCAAAAAATGCGATGTCCAAGTGCATGTCGATTGCGCAGGCTCGCACAAAGTCTGCCCCGCTAGTTTTACTTGCTCTTGGTCTGCGGGTCTTACCTTAGAATTTCCGCATGAAATGGCTCTTGTGAAATGTCCATGTGCATTTTGACTGCCCGGTCTCGCACAAAACGTGCAGCTAGCGTCTGGGACGCGGCATTTTTCGTGAATTCTGGCAGCCTTTCGGCTGCGCAGGCTCGCACAAAGTCTGCCCCGCGAGTTTTGCTCGCTCTTGGTCTGCGGCATTTTACTCTTTGCGCATTTCTACTGCGCAAGCTCGCAGAAAACCTGCGGCAGACTTCTGGGGCGCGGCATTTTCCTAGAAATTCTCAGCAAAATAGTTATTCTCAGATGTCCAAATGATTTTCGACGGCGCAGGCTCCAACAAAACGTGCGGCTGATTTCTGGGGCGCGGCATTTTTCCTGTAAATTCTCACAAAACATGCACCTTCTGAGATGTCCAAGTGCATTTCGACTGCGCACGCTCGCACAAAATGCGCGGCTAATAAAATGGGATCTTGTACAGGCCCTTGTGAGAAGCTCTTGTGGAGATCCTGACAAAGTCCTCCCTGAGAGGTCCTTGCATGATCTTGTACAGGTCTTGTGAGATTCTTGTGGGGATCCTGGCGGGCTCCTCTCCAAGAGGTCCTTGCATGATCTGCACAGCTCCATGTGCGAAGATCTTGCGGAAAATCCTCCCATGTACAGATCCTTCTGAGAAGATCTTGTGATCCTGCTGAAATCTAAGAGGTCATTGCATGATCTTGTACAGGTCCCTGTGAAAATATCTTGTGGACATCCTGGCGAAATACTGTCTTGCGTGATCTTGCGCAGGACATTGTGAGTAAAATCCTCTGGGCGTCCTTGCATGACATGTACAGGTCCTTCTGGGAAGATCTTGTGGAGATCCTGTCCAAATCCTCCCTAAAAGGAGGCCTTGCGTTAAGATCTTGAATGCTCTGCATCATCCTGCGCAGGTCCTTCACAGAAGATCTTGTAGAGATCCTGGTGCGATCCTCTCTAAGAGGTCCTTTCATGCAGATCTTGCAGATGCCATGTCTTACAGGTGCTTGTATGAAAGCTCTTGTGGGGGTTTCTTGGGAAGTTCTTGCATCAAGATCTTGTGAGATCCGCTCCAGCAGCAGCAGGTCCTTTCATGACGATCTTGTCACTTTCTCTCAGGGGCCCTGGCATGAAGATCTTGGTCCAGGTCTTTTACAGGTCCTTGTGAGTAACTCTCGTGTGTCCCAGCGCGCTGCTGTCAGAAACCTTTTTGCATGACCTTGTACAGGTCCTTGTGGGAAGCTCTTGAAGAGGTCCCGGTGAAATCCTCTAGGTGTCCTTACATGGTCTCGTGCAGGTCCTTGTGCGCAGATCTTGTGGAGATCCTGTTGACATCCTCCTCGAGGTCCTTGCGTTAAGATCTTGAAGATCCTCTGCGTTGGTGCTTGTCTGAAAGTTTTTCTGGGATGCTACTAGGAAGCTCTTGTATGAAGATCCTGTGAGCTCCTCTATAGAAATTTATATAGAATATAGAAGGTCCTGCAGTTGCGATCATGACTAACCTCATCTGTTACTGTTCCACACCTACTGTTGCTTGTATCTGGTGCATTGACTTCCTACCCTCCACACTGTTTGGGGTCTCTTGCCGGTGTAATATGAGTTTAAGTAATTGCTCTCTTTGAAAAGCATTGTCGTGGATGCCCTCCCAGCCCCCGTCTCATTGCACACAGTGGTCTATTTTGGCCGGAGACTCACCTGGCCAATCGGGCGGGAAGATGCACCAGAACCACCCATGTACAAATTGCCAAGAACAGCACGGGCATCAAGCACGCAAAACCTGTCCACAAAAACAAAAAAAATCAGCACTAAGCGACATATTTCCAAGTGATTCCCAAAATGGATGAAGCAATTGGGAACATGTTTAAGTTTAAGATTGAATAAGCAAATCCAAGAACCTCCGATGATGAACATCGCAAGGTGTTGGCCCTCTCCATCGCAATATACGGTTGCATAGCGTTTTAAGGTGGAGGTCCCATTGGGATGGCCATGGCATTGGAAGGGCGCCAGCAGCATGGAAAATAGGACAATGAAGAAGACTAAGAAGGTCGTCCCCATGGTTCTCCACAAATTGCTGCCTTGGAAGGTCTTTGAGCGTGTGCATAGAAGGAAGCACAAGTGTACCACCAAAATCGCGAACATCAGCACAGGGATCACGAGACTCCTCAATCCGAAAAGAGCCACGGGACCCATGGACGTCACACAACTCACGCTCAGCATCTCTAGATCGAAACTCAAGAATTCCAGGAACACCAAGACGCTGGCAAAGGGCTCCCTCCAATTGATGTCAAAGCGCCGCATCACTGAAAGCATCTGGACAGTGACCAGGAGCAGTTGAAGGCTGCACGTCATCATCAGGGAGCCGGAACCCGACTGTCGTTGAGTCTCCTTCTTGAGCCCGATGTACAAACAGGTCACCCCAATAGGGATGATGAAACAAACAGTGATGAAAAATGCATAGTCACCACCGCCACACTCTTCACAAGTGCCATTCCCAGAATCTCGCAGCCCGTCCTGGCAATCGTTGCAAGCAATGCTCTGGTTGTGACGGCCTGCAGCACAAGTACCGGCAGGACCACCAGGACAATAGTCTTCGTTGAGGCAATGAAAGACGTCATTGGGCGCATGGGACATTGAGAAGTATCCTCGTTTGAGGCTGAGGCGATTCATGCCAGGGCAGTCGAGGCCATCACCACACTGCTGGCAACGTCCTTGCCACAAAAACCATCCCTCCTTGCAAAAGCATTTAGATTTTGCAGTTGCTCCCTGCAACTCGATGATTTTACCGGCAACAAATTCGTTGGTTGTCCAGAGTCCTGCTTCATCACCCATGTCTGCACCACACTGGTAGCAAAAGCTCATGCCAGTGTCATTGGCGTACAGCCCCAGGCTGCACTTGTCACACTCTCGTGATCCCGGATTCGCTGCCATGGTGCCAATTTCACACAATTTGCATTCTGAAGCTCCGAAAGCGTTTTGGAAGGAACCGGGTGCACAAGGAGAGCACACTCGGGTATTCTCAAACTTCACCGAAACCCTTCCTGGGCTGCACATCTTACAATCCACTGCTTCAGACTTTGATGTCACAAAGTTGTCCTGCAAATCCACCAGGCCTTTCCCAACGGCACAGGTGGTCCTGTCGGGCACCCAAGCCTCCCAGGATTCTTTGTTGGATTTCACCCACTCACAAGCTGTCTGCCATGTATCCTTGGTATCTGCACTCACCAGCTGAATCAGCAACGCCTCAATGTCCTTGGAGCTGAAAATGAGGTTCTCGGCCAAACCAAGAGCTCGACTGGCCGCCACTTCCAAACCTGCCGCAACCAACTTGAACAGAGTTGATCTCGCATTCATGCTCCGATAGATGCCCTGAAGAATTTCTGCATCATGGCGCTCAGGGAACTGGACTGCAAGTTGCTGGTAGGCCACAAAGTTGGAATCGGGAGACCAGGCATAGAGTAGGGATTGAAGCTCGGTGTTGATGGCCACATAGTTAGCGAAGGTAGAAGCCACTGCCATTCCAACATTCATGTTGTAAAAGGTGGCTTTCTGTGTGATATCTGGGAATCCCCAGCCTTTACCTGCACTCACGATTGATATGCAATTTGCTGGATCTGCACGGCAAGCAGGAGCCAGCCACCACTTTTCATCCAACCAGCATTTGTATGCTCTCTGCCCATTTCTGTCTTCCACGCCATCAACGTCACCTGTGGCCTCTAGGTAAAATCGAGCAGCAAACGCGTATCCTTCATCCGTAATGTTGCAAGGCCGCAACTTGTTGGGATCCACGTCTGAGATCTTGGCTGCATAGTTCTCGGGGTGAAACCAAGCAGAGTTGTAGTTGCCATAGTACGTCAAATGCAGACCTGCGGAGCTTGCCATAGTGCCATAGTGGCAGTACACCATAAGCTACTTGAATCAAAAAAAAAGACTTGCTCCCGGCACATATCGGCACATGCACCAAAACAGGGGCAGACTTGAGGCGCCAACCTACTGCCTCTTCACTCTTGTTGTTGGCTCTTCCAAGTACGTGCAACCCATCATAGCCTTAGGTTCAGGCGAGTCACATAGCTTCCCATGCACAAAATCAAGAACTCAAACGTCCAGAGTCCAGACCGTCCAGAGTCCAGAACCGCGTCAATTTCACTAAAAACATCTAATAACTGGCTAGATACCCTCTGGTGAACTAACATAGCAATGGAAAATCACATTTTTTCATGGGAAAATCCACTATAAATGGCCATTTTCCATTGCTATGTTAGTTCACCAGAGGGTAATCACTAATCTGGCGAGCTACCCTCGTAACCGACAGGTCCAAGGATGGACCCACTGGCCTCACCCAATAGCTGAGAGAAAGCTGCCCAGGTTGGAATTTGAATGCCCGTTGCCCAGGCTTCAAAGGAAAGATGCTCGGTCGGGGGCCAGGTACACAAAGCCAAGTCCTTAACACAAGTGCTCAAGGTGGCTAGCACGAAGCAAAGACCATGCTATCAATCAGCCTACAGATTTATGGGATATATTATAGCGATTGGTAAGGATTACTATGGCCACTTCTCTCATTGCTTTGCTAGCGTTCCCGCTGGTGGGTTCTTTGAAAACCAGATAGCTGCGTCATTCACGAATTCAGATGGCAAAAATCACAGAGCCAGCAGCCCAGCAGTGCATTCAAGACAGCAGTGCTTTCAGTGCAAGGAAAGCAGTGATACTTTCACGGCTGCGGACAAGATTCTTGGCCCGAGCACCCAGACACCGCCAGCATTTGATGCAAGGAGTTGGCCGTTGACAGGGTTCGAACGTGGTATCCCAGCACCTGAGAAGTGAATGCCGTGTTTTGAATGCTAATCATCCTACTGAATCAAACACATAAAACATTGGCAATTTCGTTTCTTGATCCGTGTGAAAATTTAGTTGTGAAGCTTGCAAGTTGCTAACCAATCCGAACGTGCCCATGTGCGCAGAAAAATTAGGACAGGCTGGACAAAAAAGGAGACATGAAAAAATGGCCCGGCAATGCCACGCAAACTCAGCTTTGATCACAAAACACGTTTTCACTGTCTTTCACCACATGACCGGAACACCTTTTGAAAGTAAGCCTTTGAAGGTGGCAATCCCTCGTGGCGCAAACGCGGTGTTGATCAAAAAGTGCTGTTATACACAAAGTAATTACCCTGGACAGTTTGGGAAAGGGTGACTTCCAAAAGCGGTGCCCTGTTCTGGGTCCTGGTCAAAAAGGGTCGCTTTACTGCAAGGTCGGATTTGGAATTGGGAGATGGAAAAGTGGCGCCCCCGTTGCGACGTGCCCCAAATGGGTTAGTGATGGATTAGTGGATATGCATGTTGCGCAACCCTTTTGCAGCACTTCAGAGTTTGCATTGTTTTTATGCCCTTCAAACGCTAAAAACTTGAGATGCCCCTGACAGGTGTGACCCTTGTTCTGGTCTCAAATGTCTACGTAGATAGCTGGCGAGTCATTAAATTACAAGTCACTCAGTTAGTTAGTTGTAGTTAGTTATAAAGGTATACAATGAGTTGGTTATACTTAGCTATACAGCATTATACAGCTATAGTTGGCTACACTTAGTTATAGTTACATAGTTGTAGCTGGTATCGTCAGGCATAGTTAAAGATATAGTTCAAAGTTACAGTGATAAGTGATAAGTTATAAGTTATCAGTTGTAGTTGTAGTCGTAGTTAGGGTAATAAAACGTTATATAGTTACAGCTATATAGAAATCTAGTTACGGTTATAGTTATTGCCTATTGTAGTTATAGTGAGATATAGTGAGATACGGTCAGTTCTCGTGAGTTAGAGTTCGCTATAGTCAGTCATACTCGCTCATAGTGAGTCAGAGTTAGGTGGAGTTAGTTGAAGTTGGTTAGTGTCAGGCTTAAATATGGTTAGAGTCCGTTAGATTTGGTTAGACTTAGTTCGAGCTACTCAGAGTTAGATAGAGTTCGTTGGAGTTGGCCGGTTAGGTTAGTTATTTGCTCCCTTGGTTAGTTAGTAAGCTGTGATGAATGAATAAGTGAAATCCGGGGTGATACTGATTTAAGTTAGTTGGTCAGGCAGCCAACCAACCAGGCTTGTTGTCACCGCCCCAGCAGTTTCCGCGCCTCAGACGCCAAGATTTGATAGACACGAGTCACCAGATCCACTGAGTCCCAACCTCCAGTGGCAACACCCAGCGGCATGGACACCCCATCAATGGTGAGATTCTGCCTCTGGTCTTCTGGGATGCCATCCTGTAGGCA